GTGTTTAATACTGGCAACTTCTAATTGTGGGAACAACAAAAACTTTCCCAGTAGAGATGTCCCATAGAACATTTTGCGAAACAATAGCCAGCATGTGTAGTTCCGGGGGGTTGAGGACCGTTAAAGGCCAATTTTGGATAGTCCGCCGTGGTTTCGTTCCATTTCAAAGTGCTGTTTGACGCTCGGCATAACCTTGGCGCACTGCCAATCCAACATCCAACCCCAGAGCTTGAAGATTAATCACGGGGTTTGTGAAGCAAAGGGACTGTAGTCCCAAACGATAGCTGAGGATTATGGGTAGTGTAGTGTCTTCGGCCATAAACTCCGAAATGTTTTTCGGATTTCATATCGCATTAACACCATATCCCAACGTGCATTGCGGCTAAAACATCCAATCACCGAGCTTAAACCATAGCTGAGGATCTTGGGTAATCAGTTCAGTGGGTGTGTATCATGGATGTATAATAAGAACTGGAAACAGCGTGGGAGGCGGGGTCTTGTTAATTCCTATGAGAGTTGCTCATTGGCGCTTGAAGACAAAATGGCCCAACTTTTGAGAGAGCGAAACGTCACCAAAGTATTCATATAATCATATAATCCGTTCTTATTGTGCATCCATGGGTAAAGGTAAAACTCATAGTACTGAACACGTCACATGAACGTGCCGGGCGGCGCGATCCCGTGGGTTGGATCCGCGTTCATAATGCAGAGAAAAATAACTCTCAGAATAACGTTATTATCGAGGGCGGTGGTGGCGAAGTCGATAGGGACTTGGCTTGGCAACTGGAAGGTCACCAGTTCAAGTCCCAGTAAGACCAAGTGCTGCCGAGGTGTCCCTTAGCAAGGCACCATTCCCTACACTGCTCCCCGGGCGCAGTTCAAAATGGCAGCACACTGCTCCACTACTGTAGGATGGGTCAAATGTGAGAAACAATATCCCCACGGGGATTAATAAAGTATATTTAAAAAATATATATATTAGCACATTTTACAACTTGAGGACCGAATGTTTTTAATAAGGGCTATACAAATGTTCAAACTGGGTAGTTTATTGAGTTCTAAAAAAAAGTATCCAACGATTTACAGACGTCTCTTTCCCGATGTTAGTCAATGGGAAAAAGTATTTCCGGGCCAAGCGACTGATAGGGAAGTGTAGTCCGCCGTTTGGCCACAACGAATATTTTCCTCAGAGTCCGGCGCACTTCCTGGGGGCTTGGTGTGTATCGCAATTACCTCATTCATACCAACGGTGTTTCAGGGCCGGTTCGGAGCTGGAGCTTGAAAAGCACCGGGTTTTCCTGTTCACGCTGCAGCGGAGCAGCCTCTTAGCTCCGGAATCCGGTTCGTTTCAAGCACCAAAAATGTTTTCGGCTAGAGCAAAAGCACTATACGTCACGCTTACGTCGATGCGGGGGCNTGAAATCCGAAAAACATTTCGGAGTTTAGGATGGTTGAAGACACTACACTACCCATAATCCTCAGCTATCGTTTGGGACTACTGTCCCCGTGATTAATCTTCAAGCTCTGGGATTGGATGTTGGAGTGGCAGTGCGCCAAGGTTACGCCGAGCGTCAAACAGCTCTTCGAAATTGCTTAGTGTGTTTCGCAAAATGTTCTATGGGACGTCTCGACTCAGAACGTTTTCGTTTTTTCCCACAATTAGAAGTTGCCGGTATTAAACACNGCGGAAACCCCTCACAGCTCACACCGACAACAACAACAATGGCCGATTGTGCTCCAGCTTCCTCTGTACCTCTTCGGAAGACCAGATTCCCAGTAGATACTATCTACTGGGAATCTGGTCTTCCGAAGAGGTACAGAGGAAGCTGGAGCACAATCGGCCATTGTTGTTGTTGTCGGTGTGAGCTGTGAGGGGTTTCCGCACGGTTTGGCTTTATGAAGCAGGCACGCAAACTGTTACGTCATTACGCAAACGATGACGCAATGACGCAGCACCAGTCGGACTCTGGGCGGTGTGAAAAGAGCCGGAGCTAAACCGAAGAACCGGTTCTGAACCTGAAAAGCTCTAGCACGGAGCTTGAACCGGAGTTGCGTTGGTGTGAATGAGGTAAATGATGCTCGAAATGTCCCATATAGGCCTACGTCTGTTTCCTGTTACTTTATTTTGAAATTCACTTCCTGACAGACAGCAAAAAAAACAGAGATTATAGAATTAAACAAATAAATAAAAACAAGGATAATTGTTTGTTATTGTTGAGTAAATAACAGTGTGTTATTTAGAAAAGAATAACAAATTAGAAGGAAAAAAAGATTGAAAAAATACAGATTTCATATAAACAGTCTATGCTCTGAGCCCCATTTCTTTTTTTGAGTAAGAAGTGGAACGTGTTTTTATGAACCCCACAGTCTTCCAAGACCCGACCGGACAAAAAGACGTGGTGCAGGCAAACGAAATGCCGTGAGACTGGGTTGAATAATATCATTGTAATCAATATATGTTCTTTGAAATTACTACGGTTTCTTATATTTATTCCTTTATTTAAACACGTGTAATACAAATGTAAGCATAAAAAAGCAAGATAATTAAATTCATTATGACCGTTCACTCTGGGAGCTGAGCTAAAGATAAATATCTCCAATACAATTTATTCTTGAAGCACATGCAGTTAAGAGGGTTATTACAGAAATCTCATAATGCTTATTGTGAAGATCTTTCTCCTTGAATCCAAGGTTGATCTAAAATACAATGTAATATGGGCCAAACTGATTAGCAGCAAAGAAGAAGCAAAAGACCGATAGCGTAGGACCAATAGCTAAAAAAAATAATCAATAAACACACCAAGATTCGACATGAAAGCAATTTAACTTGCCTCTGCAGGTCGGCCTGGTGTGAAAGCCGGGGTGACTGTGAAGGTGGGGGGTGGGGGGGTGTGCATCCAGCAGTCTACATGTACACTTATATTGGCCTGTCCAATCTTGTAAACTACTTTGACGTGTCATTTATGTTTATTGATAGATTGTACGTAATTGATCTGTGTGTATGTGCGTGCATGGACAGACATGTGTTAGTGTGTGTGTGTGTGTGTGTGTGTGTGTGTGTGTGTGTGTGTGTGTGTGTGTGTGTGTGTGTGTGTGTGTGTCTTCCTTTGCAAATCTTCCAGTCTGGGAAGGACATCTTTAGTCATTATCTGGAGCCGCCTTGTAATTTGTAATCAGTTGATCGTGGTTGAGGCTGCGAAGTGTGATGTACCAGACTCCTAGCTGCCATATTTAATCCGATCCCAGATCTATTACTGTCGAGGGAGGCAGGACCACAGGAGACACACACACACACACACACACACACACACACACACACACACACACACACACACACACACACACACACAGTGACAGCTGCTAAGTGCATTGATGTCTCAGTGATGCTGCAATGCAATTTAATGTCAGAGGCATCTTTGTCTGATGTCTTCGTGTTTCATCAGCGAGTTTTGCTTGTTGTGGATTGTTAGCAACAGTAGAGGATGGATATATTACTAAAGTACAGCATGTGAACTGAATCCATTGAAAAATATTTTGGCCTCTGAATTTTACACTTCATGTCACACAATACTGTCTCCTTTAAGACAAAGAAATGTCCAAATACTTAAAGGCTTATTCAGAATTAAAATCATATTCTTACTTACAAAAAACAATTTCAAAACAATCCTCATAGTATTTTTTTTCATTAGATGAAAGCTATTTATTTCCAAAATGGTCAGATATTCAGGAACTAAGAAAAAATATCATCCCATATGATGATGCATATGCCAAATCGTCCTGCTGAAAGTTTCATAAATGTATTAGGTTTGGTGAACCTCAAAGTTACACACAACAAGTTTCGGTGTTCCTTTGTTTGTTATAAAAACAGAGGGCTTCTTTTATTATTATTTTCAATTACATGATTTTATTGTACATCCAAGAAACACTACAGTGTTACAAACAAATATATTGTTAACTGTCTCCTCCAGGTTTGTGAAAGGCTCACAACCTTTAAACACAACTGCCAGGTGATGAAAATCACCTGGGATAATTTGCAAGGAGAGCAGGGAACTGAATAGGACAACAAAGAAAGAAGGCGTATAATGAGCCAATTGAATACAGTCACCACACTGAAGCTCTGCTCCTACTGTCTGATTCAGAAAACAGAGGTCACACTTTGGAAGAAGCAGCTTTGAGATAAATCACATACAGGTCTGGTTATGTTCTTTTCAGTGAAACATGTAGGAGTAGTAGTCCTCTGTCCTTGGATATTCTGCTCTCCTGTTGCAATACATAATAAATAATATAGGCAGGTAAAATTGTATCTGGCAACATGGAAGAGAAGGTATGATGGTATATGTCGGGGATATGGAGGGAGATTAAAAAGGAAGAGACAGACAGACGGGGTGTCCTTGTGCTTTGTTTTAGAAACTAAATTGCCGGCGGCAGGGTGGCAGGCAGTAGTGAACTCAGCAGATTGCCAAGACTGTGATACTGCACGTTGCCCTCCTGTTTTTTTGTCGTGGTTTTATTATTGATTCGTGATAACAGTGTGGCCAAAGGCAGAGGCAGGTGCTGCTGGAATGACACAGCAGGTGTAGATGAAGTGGAAAAGGGAAAAGAGCAATAACCAGAGGAGACTACACAAAAGGAGAGCTGGTTGAAAGTGGTGCTGACTGGGGAAGATAACAGATTTTTCTTTATGCACTGAGCAGCATGAAACTGAAAGTAAATGTTTGCTTGCAGCTTTTGATGGTGCTGACAATTATTTGTATTGTGTGTGCTAGTGCAGTTTAATTTGTCTGTTACCTTTAGTGTACATCCACTGCATCTCAATTGCTTTCATGTTTTGTGTTGCCTCTTTTCAATGGGCCTGTCCACTAACATTGAATTATTCTCTTTCCTTCCCTGCCCCAACCTGTGTCCACTACATTTCCAATCCTATCATACTTTCACTTCATTTCTATATTTCCTCCACCTATCTTCTTCCAATCACCTTCCCTAATCCTTCCACCACCTAGCTAACATCCTAACAGTGGTCATCCTGTCCCAGCTGGTGCTGCGTCGTCAGAAGTCCTCCTACAACTATCTCCTGGCTCTGGCAGCCGCCGACATCCTGGTCCTGCTCCTCATCGTGTTCGTCGACTTCATTTTGGAGGATTTTATTTTGGGCACGGCGCTGCCTCCATCACTAAACAATGCAGTGCAGGTTCTGGAGTTCTCCTCCATCCACACCTCCATCTGGATCACCGTGCCTCTCACCATTGACCGTTACATCGCTGTTTGCCACCCTCTGCGCTACCATACAGTCTCCTACCCAGCCCGCACACGGAGGGTGATCTTCGCTGTGTATATTGGGTGCTTGCTCTCCGCAGCGCCTTACTACTGGTGGCCTGAGCTGTGGCACAGCCTGTCCGGGGTGGGCGACGGTGATGGAGGAGGAGGAGAGGAGGGAAACGGGAGGACCGTGGTCCAGCATGTCCTGGTGTGGGCCCACTGCGCCACAGTCTACCTGCTCCCCTGCACAGTCTTCTTCTCCCTTAACGCTGTCATCGTGCGTAAGCTGCGCAGACGCCGCAGCTGCTTTCGTCTGCGTGGCTACTCTACAGGCAAAACCACTGCCATTCTCCTGGCTATAACCTCAATTTTTGCTGTTTTGTGGGCGCCACGTACCCTCATGATCCTGTACCACTTTTATTCCTCTCCTCCAGCCTCGCAGAGTGCGGGCAGATTGCTCCATGTGCTCACCGATCTGGCCAACATGCTAGCACTGCTCAACACCGGGGTCAACTTCTTCCTCTACTGCTTCATCAGCAAGCGCTTCAGGGGAATGGCAGCCAACGTGCTGCGAGCCCTGGTCCGCTGCCGGAAGCAGCAGAAGCCTTTCTACGCCAGCCACAACTTTTCCATCACAAGCAGCCCCTGGATCTCACCAGCCAACTCCCACTGCATCAAGATGTTGGTGTACCAGTACGACAAAAACGGGAAGCCCATCTGTATATCCTCTTGAGTCCTCAGCCATGGTAGCTACCCCAACCTTCAGTTGTTGGGAAGCATATTCAGGCATTGTCTCCTTGGTGACAAGCTCTGCTCCCTTGGGACTCTTCGAGGCTTGAAAATGTCAACACACCCCGAGAGCACATAGGTTCAGTTAGCTAGCTTTGAGCGATAACAAAGCGGTTGGCTAGCAAGATGGAAACTGCAGATCCGTACTTAACAGAAAATGGCCTCTTATGTTCAAAAAAGTATTCAAAAGGCAGCAACCAGCATCAAATAACTAATGATTATTTTCTCCATGCAAAAAAATACAGCTATTGTATGACTGACTCTAGACTTACGGACTGATCAAGGGATATCAACCCCCACCTCTCACTGACTTTAATGAGCCACAGCGCAAAAAAAATAAACTGGCAACTGTTATCTAGTATCCTCTGTGAAGCTTCAAATACTAAGACATTGATTTATTTATGGACGGTCTCTGTCGCACACTGCTGCCAACGATGAGGAGCTGCGTCTTTGTCCGTTGGGAGACATTCCCAAAAAGCAGAGATTTCCAGTCAGAGTCTTGGCACTGAACATCTCACCTCGAGGGGGTGACACCACTCAGGCAGAGTCATCAACGGTTCTGGCTGTGTCTCAAGCAATGTTCAAAAAGCGCTGTCATTTCCAGTTTAATATGCAGAGGAGTCTCAATGGCATGTTCATTTGGGCTACCATCAAATGAACAGCCCTACCTGACTTTTATCTTGTGTGTGCCAAGTTCATCCTAGCAGTGCAGGTCTCTCTGCTTACTGTTGGGTAAATATGTATTATTTGGTCATGGTAGACTGTTATTGTGGCTTCACATAAAAATAAGACAAAAAATATGACTTGTGCAAAGTGTCATTAAACTAGTAATCACATATCCAATATTAGGAAGAGGAAATTTCTGCTATGAGTAGATAGTCCTCTATTAACTATTAATGGTCCGTGATGACTTACTGTTAACCACTATCTGGATGAATATAATGAATGTAACAGCTGTATAACCCTTTAGCTTTTTTTGAAAGACTGAGTGATAAAGAGAGAGAGAGAGATGACGTACACATCTGTAATCCTTTATTTTTGTTTTGCTTTTCCTCATCCAAGGTTTTCTGCCCCATGGTGCAGCAGTGAATTTGGTCTCAGGGCCACAGTGACACATTTCAGCTCTGCTCATTCTGCTGCTGGCTGATGGCAATTCAGTAACATTTCACATCCAAACACAGTCACGTACATCAACTCTGTCTCAGTGCTGCCAGAGTCCTGCCCAGTAATAAACCATAAATGTTAACACACACTAACACTCACACACACATGAAGAACACACTTATACTCACATTGTGCTCTGTATTGCCCACAGAAAGAGCACATTGAGATCAATGCATTCTGCAGACACCTTGCAGCATTAGCAGCATTCATCTATCTAGCGAGAAAGGTACTGAGCCAAGGGGAAGATTTCTGTTGATATCTGCCTGAAGATATGAGACACATCAGGCTTTGTTTGAATGGATATGGCTTTAAATCGGATGAATGTTATGTGCGTCTGTCAGAGCTGATAAAGCCATGCCCTTCAAACTCTTGTTCGACACTCACGTTGGAGACACTTTAGGCGGTCACTGCAGGTTGCGATTAACACAAAGAGCTTGAACGTTTTGGCTGCTTCTCAAGAAGGTTATAATAACATTACTAACAAGCTTTATTGCTGAGAGGTTGCATAATCCTGACTTGACGAGACATGTCCTTTAGAGCAAGGGCTGTTCACCTTGTTTTAACAAATTGCCAGTTTAATGATATGAGTTAAATAGGTAGGTAACTATTGAATCTTTACCATGACTGTGTATTTGAGTGTATTTACATTTCCAACTCAGCGTCTTGCTGGGTGATGTCAAAATAACATAAGTATACATTTACTTTTTTAATGTTTCTCTTGGTGCTTAAAGTGTGCGTTTAAAACCCAAGTTCAACAAACGCGCTTTTCTTTTTGAAAACATGAAAATCTTTCTTTACATCTCTACCTCCCATTTCATTTGAACATGGTAGCAGTATATGGTCATATCTGATATACCAATCAAATTGCTCCTGCTACCCCTCCTGCATGCACCTCACAAGTAGGTAACATTTTGGCAAAACCTCCCACTATGTGTAGCAATGTCAATTTTTGTAACAGATCTGAGCAGATCAATTATATTATGGGCAAATTCAAAGACCAGTTTAAACTTTAAAAACTTTTTTTTCAATTCAGAGGATCGAAACACTTTTTATCCAAGTGCTGTTGGCACAATTTCTTATTCTTGGAAATGTCCAATATTCTTTCCATTCAACGATTTTGTAGCGAACCTGTTGCCCAACTTCCTAATTCCCTCCTTTTCAGTTCAGCTTTGCACTTCTTGACTGGCTCCTCCAGTCTCAATTCTTATTTATTTGTTCTTTACAAATTGATTTTCTTCCAAATTACTGTGTGAATGAGGGAGCTTTAACTGCCACTCTCTCTCTCTCACCTCCTTCACTCTGCAAACCCGCTGCTCATTCCTCTTTTCTCCCACTTTATGTCAAATGCTCTTGCTCAAAGTTAATTTCACAAGTGTCCTTTTTACTCGTTATCTGATAACCTTGAAGTCATCTGTGCTACATCGCTCCATGAATCCTCATCAGAAAATGGATCCATGCGGGTAGGGACCTTGAGATGAAACTATGTTAAATGTTATTTCATGGAGATGAACGGCCAAATGGTCGATAACTGATAATCAGTCAGCGAGCTCTTTGACTCCAGGTCCATCAAAAGTCATCCTTAGCAGTGTGTTGCATTTCATTTAGTGTAAAGGCTTTAAAATGCATTCTTTGATCCTTAATCAATACTGCTTAATGATCCGACAATGATCATTAAGAAGTTAGATAACAAGAAATTATTTAGGCTTCAGACTGAGGAACTAATGCCAGATCAATGTTGCCATGACATTCATTCTCGTGCAACCCTATCCATTTTAAAGCAATGTTAATGTGACATTTGTGGGAAAACCAGCGCCTCCCGGGGGCCTCCTGGGAGTTTCACAGGCATGCTGGGAAACCAAAGCAGATGATTTGGGGGTGTTGAAAGAGGGTCACATGCGGGTGTCTCTTCGTCTACCACGTGAGGCGTTCGGGGAGCATGGTGGGAGGTGTGTGTGTGAGGGGGGACCATGCCAAGTAATCACCCCTATTACATAAGAGAAAAGAAGTAATGCCCAAGATCTGTGTTTTCTTCATCCAGATATTAAAAAGATAAACAAACATAAATTAATCAGAGGATGGAATTGTATTTCCTCTCTGTCTCTCTCTTTACCTAGTGAAGCTCTACAGTGTGTGTGTGTGTGTGTGTGTGTGTGTGTGTGTGTGTGTGTGTGTGTGTGTGTGTGTGTGTGTGTGTGTGTGTGTGTGTGTACATAATGTCCGTCTTAAACAGAAAGAAGCTTTAAAAAGTGTTTGTGCCATAGGACCATTATGTATGTAAGATGTGTATTTATACTCAATCATGATGAATATAATTACATGCAGCACAGCATTATAAGGATATATCCATGAATGTAAACTGAAGCTTCAGGCAATTTTATTGGTATTTTACTGATTGTGATTTTCTACTCAATTACCTGTTTTGAGTATTTACCTTTGTTCCTCCATGGCAGTTTTTCTGAACTGTGTTTTTTGATTGTACTGGAGTAATCATAGGCTTGCATAATTCAGTTGTTCCTCCTAATGAATGTATTAATTGTATAAAGAGTATGTATTACTGTGTTGTGTGAAGATATGCAGAAAAGTATTGACTATTATCAATCTTATTGATTAAAGAAATAAAGAACAGTATCTCTATGGATTGAGATGTAGTGCTTCGATTGGGCGGTGTCTTTTTTCTACATGTGAGAAAGCACTCTTGACTTAAAGAAAAGAGAAATGAAGTGGTTGAAGGGATTCTCATTTCTGAACAACTTCCCAAGAATGTTCAGATTTCTGAGATATTCTCAGGTAGAAACGTTGTCATTTTTAACAAATTGTACAAAAAAGAAGACAATGTTCAAATGGTACTTTTGCAAATAAACATTAGTCCCAGCATGTGAACTGGATAAAAAACCTAAAGCAAGTGTAAATTGAAGAGTAAATAACTATGTTTTAATTAATAAGGTGATAATAAATTATAATATTTATTTATGATTTGAAGTTCTCTTATAAGGAATATATTTCCTAACTACAAATGTATTCCTTATATAAATAAAACTTCCTTGAAAATTAAGAGAAAACGTTCACACTTTTTGATAAATTATTCCAACCACAGCTGAACAAAATATGAATATGACGTAACATCTTTCACAGAATTTCTCTCCTGCTGACATTTAGAAAAACTGATCCAAATCCAACAGTTTGCACACAGCATAAAAAAAATGTGAGCTACATGGCAGAGTGTTTGCCTCCAATTTCTAACGGGAAATGAAAATCGATAGAAAATCACTGAGAATCAACATCTGCACAGTGACCTGACTTTTAAGCATCCAAAACACACTGCTGAGCACAAACAGCAGTGCTGGCTACGTGGCAACAGTGTGTGTTGTGTGAGTTTGTGTGTCCACAGTTATGTTACAATTCAAGAAGATACACTGTGATATAAAGTGAGAAACGGTGCTGTGTTGATCTAGAGCACCAACTGTAGAGCTGTAACAATCCAGGTGCTAATCACAAGCTCAGAGATAAAAGAGGGAGTCAGCCGTGCGTGCGTGCGTGCGTGCGTGTGTGTGAGACTAATTAAAGTCTTGACAGCTAAGCTGCACAAGCAATGCAGTTACCGTCCTGCTGCAACAAAATAGATCAATGTGTTTGTTTCAGTGACACAACCGGCATCTGGCCTCTTACAATAAATCACCACTTGTAAAGGCTGAGGTCACTGACACTTCTCATCTATACCGTAATATAAAGAAGGTCTGTCTGATAAATGTCCCATCAGCCCTGAACCGTTTTCTCATGTGAAGCATATGCAGCAGACAAGCAGAGAAAAGGAGGAAATGAGAGAAATGAAGACAGAAAGATGGAAGGACTTGTCTTCACACGTGTGTGTGTGTGTGTGTGTGTGTGTGTGTGTGTGTGTGTGTGTGTGTGTGTGTGTGTGTGTGTGTGTGTGTGTGTGTGTGTGCACTTACTGCCAAGTCTTACGGGTGTTGCTGCAGTGATAAAGATGGATGAGTCTGTCTGCTGCTGTGATTGGGCTGTTGTGGATTCTGAGTGAGTCCACATGCACAAATGTATTTATTTATATATTTATTTAAATGGACTTGTGGCTGGTGTGTGCATTTAAGAGTGAAATAAGCAGAACAAAAGAGTGAAAAAAGGGAACATTACATCATCTCAGCATCACTGCAAGGCAAGGACCATTGTAAATATATGTCAAGGTTATTTATCATATATGTCTGTCAAACTGTTATTTTAATCATGGATTGAGAAGCATACTTACATACTGCAGATAGCATTGAAAAATGTGCTGCTCAATGAAAAATACATCAAAGCATGTATTTTAAATGTATACTGACATTCAAACAGTAAGTGGCGACAAATTGAGAAAACTTAAAAATAATGACATTCTGTCTATTTTACATAGTTCCCCTGTCTTTCTCTCACTCATATTCAAATTATACATATTACAAAAGCATAAAATATAAAGTGTCCTCTGACTTAAAACTGCACGGTTCATAATGAGGGGTTGTCACATTTAAAAAAAAATGATAACTAGTAATATCTGTATTCCATTTGGCTGCTTCAGTTTTAGGGTCCATTGCCCATGCTTCTAATGCCCCATAATCATTGATACTGACAGTCAATGTATTCCACTTTGTGAAAATGTTTGTCAGATGTGAGCAACATATGGTATCTTAAGCAGCACTGAGATCAAGTAAGACCTGGTTGGAGAGCTGCCCAGTAACACCAACTGCAACGATGTGATTTCAGACTTTTAGCAAAGATGTGTGTTCAGCTCTTGTCTCACACATACCTCTTGCTCAACCTCAAGAGTCTGCGAACCTGGCCAATACAGACCTCTACGTCTGAGTCTTTGCTCTTAGAGAGATTATAAATCCTACCAAACTTCTCACACTACAGTGATTTATTTGATTTAATGCTACTGTAATGACAGTACATGTGCTTAATGGAGCTAACTCAAAATGTGTTAACTTTGTGAACAGAAGGCAGCTAATTCAAATTAAGTTCTAGAGTTATTATGATTATCATTTATTCGCTGGGACAAATGAATTTGCTCTTGCAGTAGCATTACAAAATCCTTCAGTTCTAGATGAAACACTTTGTGCTTTTCCACAACATGTAATGGTGCCAACACATCCACTTAATCTTGAGGAGGCACTATGAGGGGCTAAGTGTTTAAATCATAATCTGCTAATGAAAAATATGTTTTAAAGGGGTGCAAATATAGCAGAAATCCAATTAAAATACTGCAATGACTGCATGTCATTCACTTGTGGTGCTTTTATACTAAACTCCATAGTATTTTATATGTGTTCCAGCCCATTGGTGTTTCTGATATTTTGTTTACAAAGGGTTAAATGCATTGCCGAGTTGTTCAATTGGATCTGGTTATATCTTTATTGCTTTTGCCGCTGATGTAGGATATCTGTGTCATTGCCTCAGTCTCTCCCTGAAATACTAACTCATCTTCTTTATCGAGCAATAACTGCTATCATTTTTTGTATAGCCGGACCAAGTGTTAGATATGGGAAAAATAGAAAGACAGAAGAGATAGATTAAAGATAAAGGAGAATGAGGGAGGAGAGACGGCAGCACGCTGTCTTTATACTCAACTGATGAAGTGCAAGTCCTTCATGTAAGAAAAACCCACACGAATTACCGAAAATGGATTTTCACCGTGCACAGGCAATCAACTGACACGGTGAAATACATCAGTAAGAATTTGGATTTGCAGAATCAGTCACAGGTGTGTCAAACCTGAACCTCGTTATGGGACTGCAGCTGGTGGAAAATAACAAATGTTTACTGGGAGTGTTGACGCATCAAAGCAGGTACTTTAACAGGAGTTTGGTACTGAGGGACGCAAAAAGTATCTTGTAGGCAGAAAAAACTCCTGAAATGCTGATTTTTGTAGTGCCAAAACATATGCTGTTCAATAAAACATGGTAAAATAACACGGAACATGCTCATTTCTTTATTTGTAATGGAGATATCAGAACCTCCAAATAGTTGATGATGGTGGAAAAGCATCTGAGGAGTGATTTCTATCTCAGGACTGACCGATGTGCAAAATATGTTGCGTGTAAAGCATATTAAAACATGGAAAATACATATAGATACTGTTTCATTATCATTTGCTAAATGGTAATAGGATTTTTGTGATTGAGTCATGAATACTTTATGAGAAATGCACCACTAAAGCCCCTTCAAGTTTTATATGGCTTTACTTCCTTAAAAAGGTAACACTAAACACTAAATTATTTAACCAACTGGATTTAGGACTACAAATATCAATTAGTGTCCAATCAGCTTATTTTTTACATGATTTACTTTTAACTTTTAACTCTCAGTCAAGGAAAACATTAAATACATGAAGTCCATTTCTGTTTGAACCTTCCGATTGTGAAAGATATAAACGCATTGGTGTTTTGTTGTCAACTTAATGCGACTTTAACAAACAAACCTGCTGAGCTCTTATCCTGATAATCGCGGAGTCTCTTCATGTAGCACTCATGGCTTTCCTGTGATAGGGAGATTTGATGAATCCATGCTAATCCCCCTTTCATCACACCTCGTCCTTCTCCCTAGCTGCCGGCTCTGAAAACCTGCCTGTTTAATGTGCAGCCCTCTCTGCTTTCATCAAGCTAACCACGGCGCCTTGATGTTGAAGTAGTGCTTGATACGGGGTGGTTGGATCATCAAACAATCTGCAAGTCCAACCAAATACAGACACAAAAGGGTCACCTGTGAAGTGGCAGTATTGTGTGGGTCAGATATTATGCACATGCACCTGACTAATTTGTTAATGTTTGCATCATAAAAGATTTGCGAAACACCACTGAACAGTTTGATCAGAGTATGTTCTACCATGAGGTATGATGGATCCTAGGCTCTTTTTCCTGCGGCTGCATGGTTCCTCTCCTTGCTTCAAAATGATCGAGCCAGGTTTAATAAGTGCAGTCAAGCAGCTGACATAAAGCTGCAGCACATTGGACTCACCATGCCTTACTCAGGGGGAAGTATTGGAAAATACAAAAAGGATGGTCACAGTTTTAATGAGACAAAGGAACTCTTATGTTGCAACACCATTCATTTTCTCCTCTTCATTTAGTCAAAAGGTCTCTCCTCCAGGTCAGACTCAGACAGTAGCAAATAATGGATGAGGGGGTGATATTCTACGATCACCTTTCTTTAATGATGACCTCTTTCTCCTTCTTGTTATTATTTCCTCTCTCTAGAGCTGTCACTAGCCCTGCTTCAGCTTTTAGCCGTCTCCCTCATTAATCATTACTCAAGCAGTGTATCAAAATGCAAGAGCAAATAGAGGCAACAGCAATCCATCAACGCACTGAAGCCGCATGCATATGTAATGAGGAGTACAGTAGAAACAACACAACAACATTTTGCTTCTCAGGTTAATTTTTCTTTCAGGTGCAGTTATGAAAACCCACTGACCTGACTTTGAAATATTCCACACTGCTTTGTTATTAAAAGTTGGATTTATGCTTTGGCAGTGTTGATTTATTATAGTTGGATTTGAAAAAACATGCTGAATAAATGAGGTGGATAATTAACAAAAGAAGCCTCATGTTTGGATTAAACAACAGGTATACAAGGTGACAAGGATAATATATTGTCATTTTACAAC